ACAAGGAAGACCAGTTAATACCACTATTATTCAAATTTATGCACCAATCACAAAAGCCAGTGATGATGAAGTTGTATGGCACTTTAGGATCAGCACTGAACTGACAACCACAAAATTGTTGGCAGTTTGAACCCACCAGTTGCTCCTCGGAAATCCATACAGGGATGCTGTGAGGAGAAACCATCTGGACAGCACATAACAACAACAACCAACTTCTTCTGTCTGAAATTGATCAAACAAACAAACAAGATGTTTTGATAATTACTGGTGATTGGAATGCAAAAGTTGGAAACAAAGAGGAAGGATCAATAGTTGGAAAATATGGCTTTGATGATAGAAACAATGTGGGAGATCTCATGATAGAATTTTGCAAGACCAATGACTTCATTGCAAGTACCTTTTTAAAACAAGATAAGACTACACATGGACCTCACTAGATGGAGTACACAGAAATCAAATTCACTATATCTGTGGAAAGAGATGATGCAAAAGTTCCATCATCAACCAAAATAAGGACAGGGGCAGATTGTGGAACAGACCATAATTTGCTCATATGCAAGTTCAAACTGAAGCTGAAAAAATGAAAACAAGTCCACCAGAGCCAAAAATATGAGCTTGAATATATTCTACTTGAATTCAGAGATCATCTCAAGAACAGATTTGATGCATTAAACACTAATGACTGAAGACCAGAAGAGCTTTGGGGTGACGTTAACATCATACAGGAAGAAAGCAAAGGGTCATTAGGAAGATAAGAAAGAAGACAAAGACCAAAATGGATGTCAGAAGGTACTCTGAAACTTGCTGTCCAAAGCAAATAGAAGAAATGAAGAGACAAAAGAGTTGAATAGAAAATTTCAAAGGTCAGCTTGAGAAGACAAAGTCAAATACAATAATGAAATGTGCAAAGACCAGGAGTTAGAAAATCGAAAGGGAAGGACATGCTTATCATTTCTCAAGCTGAGGGAACTGAAGAAAAAATTCAACCTCAACTTGCAATATTGAATGATTCTATGGACAAAATATTGAACGATGCAGAAAGTATCAAAAGAAGATGGAAAGAATACATAGAAAGAAATGGTTGATGGTAACCATTTCAAAAGGTAGCATATGATCATGAACAAATGATACTGAAGGAAGAAGTCAAAGGGACCACTGAAGGCATTGGCAAACCAACAAGACTACAGGAATTGATGGAATACAAATGAAAATCTTTCAACAAACTAATGCAGCACTGGAGGCACTACTTACTCATCTATATCAAAACATTTAGAAGACAGTTATCTGGCCAACTGATTGGAAGAGATCTGTATGTGTGCCCATTCCAAAGAGAGGTGACCCAATGGAATGCAGCATTCATCAGAGAATATCATTAATACCACATGCAAGTAAAATATTGCTAAAGATTATTCAAAAACGGCTGCAACAGTACATTGACAGAGAACTGCCAGAGGTTCAAGCCAGATACAGATGAGGATGTGGAACTAGTGACATCATTGCTGACATCATATGGATCTTGACTAAAAGCAGAGCATACTAGAAATATGTTACCTGTGTTTTATTGACTATGTAAAGTCTTTTGATTGTGTGGACTATGACAAGCTAAAGACAATATTGCAGATAATGATTATTCCAGAACACTTAACCATACCCACAAGGAACATGTTCATAGACCAAGAGGCATTTGTTCGAACAGAACAAAAGGACATAGAATAGTTTAAAATTAGAAAAGGCATGTGTCAGAGTTGTATTGTTTCAGCATGCTTATTCAATTTGTATGCTGAGCAAATAATTCAAGAACCTGGATTATGTGAAGAAGAATGTGGCATCAGGATTTGAGGAAGTCTCATTAACAACCTATGATAAGCAGTTGATACAACCTTGCTTGCTGAAAGTGAAGAGGACTTTAAATACTGATCAAGACCAAAGACCACAGCTTTCTGTATCGGTTGACCCTCCATGTAAAGAAAACAAAAATCCTCACCACTGGACCAATAAATAAAATCCCAAAAAATGAGAAAAGATTGAAGTTGTCAAGGACTTCATTTTGCTCAGATCAACTATCAACACTCATGGAAGCAGCCATCAAGAAATCAAACAACATAATGCATCTGCTGCACAAGATCTCCTTAAAGTGTTGAAGAGCAAAGATGTCAGTTGAGGACTAATGTGCACTTGACCCAAACCATGGTGTTTTCAATAACCTCATTTGCATGTGAATGATAAACAGTAAATAAAGAAGACCGTAGAAGAATTGATGCATTTGAGTTATGGTGTAGGAGGAGAATAATAAAAGTACCACAGACTGCCAAAAGAACAAACCGAATCTGTGTTGGAAGAAGTACAGTCAGAATGCTCCTTAGAATCCATGATGACCAGACTTTGTTTCTCATACTTTGGACTTATTTTCAAGAGGGACCAGTCCCTGAAGAAGGACATCAATCTTGGTGAAGTGGAGGGTCAGAGAAAAAGAGGAAGCCCCATGATATGGATTGGCACAGTGGGAATAGCAATGGGCTCAAGCATAACAGCAACTGTGAGGTTGGCACAGGACCAGGCAGTGTTTCATTCTATTGCACATAAGGTTGCTCTGAGTCGGTATCAACTTGATGGCACCTAACAACAACAACAAATCGTATATTAACAAGCTTCTAGCCTTTGTCCTTGGTAGTAGATTCATGGGTACTTGTAACTTCATTGAAACTGGTCAGTTAACTAAATAAAGTTTATTGTGTATGTGTCAGTGACGAGGCCATATCATGAACTAAAGGTTGTGATTAAGCCAATTATTTCGTACATATTTCCAGACTAAGGAAAAGTGAGAGGAATGACAAGTGATCAATGAATCTGTTGTCCCATAGAGAAGAGTTTAGGGAAGAAATCTTATACTAACCTTGTGAATTACGGTGAGGTAACATAAGGCATGTTTGAATTTCCTGTCATGCTGAATGATCAGAACACTGGGTTTTGTGTACTACTCAAGAAGAACTTAAAGAAATAATTTATATACTGATTAAATATTTTTAAAAGATAGTATAATCACTAATGTTAGCTAGTCACATCAATATTAGGGAAAACCCCTGGTTTACCAAAAAAAAAAAATCACTAATGTAACTAGGGAAGTTCACTTATGTAAAGGAAACCCAGGTTCAGATGACAACTCAGGTGTGAACGGTCCAGTCCATTCTTGTCCCAATTTGGAATTTATATCCTTGGTTTGGAAAAGATAAAAGCTTTTGCCTTGGGTTCTAGAAGATTACTATAACCCCAGTAAGACATAGAAATGCTGCCCCGATAAAATAAGTGAAACTTTGCGAAAGTGTAAGAATAGCAGTAAGAATAAAAGATAGAAGTCATAAAGAAATCAATTCAAATGCATCGTTTAATATTTTTATAACCAGATTAAGTATAAGTATAATAATGAGAGTTTTAGCCATTAAGATAACTTTTGTTTTTTCTTCAAATGAATCTGCAGGTTTTAGGACAATCCAATAGATTGGATTGATGATGTTAATTAAACCTTCAGAAAGATTTTTGCTTAGTCCATTTATAATCAATGTTTAAATGGGAAATTTTAATTTGCCAAAATGGGGAAGTAGCCATTAAGTTAGAGAAATATTATTTAATAGATATATGAAGTGAAGACTTTAAGCATCAAATGAAATACTAATAATAATAATGGCACATGTTCTTCTCCATTTACAATGCCCCTTGAGCATTGGAGTAGCCTGACCATCTTTGAGCATGTGTGTCTGAGACTGAGACTTTTTAAGGAGGCATTGTCTGTTCACGGAAAGTCCCCTGTGAGCATTGTGCATGTGAAAGATGCTAACTGTGCTCCTCTGCTTTTAAAGGACACACACTACTCAGAGCTGTACCATGACTTCACCACCACTCAGGTGGGGATGCATGACATTCTTCGGAGCTTCCGGCAAACTATGAACCAATACAGCAGGGAGGCTGGGAGGTACAGGTAAGCACAGGGCGCACACTTAGTCTTCACAGGTGCTGTGTGTGATCTGCAGTTATCCCTTTTACAAGGTTGCTGTTGCTCTATGTTGTCCAGTCAGTTACAACTTGGCTGCAATCTTCACGGAAGCAAATTGCCAATTCTTTTCCCCACAGAGTTGCTGAGTGGATTTTGAGCTGCCCACCTTTAGGTTAGCAACTGAGAACTTAACTGTTGTGCCACCACAACGTGTAGTACTCATGAAGCTAAAGTTATAATTTCATAAGCCTGCATAAGTGTCGTTTCCGATAGCTAAAATAAAGGAGCCCTGGTAGCATGTGGATTACACGTTGGATTACTAACCCCAAGGTCAGCAGTTCCAACCTACAAGCTGCTCTGAGGGAGAAGGATGAGGCTTTCTGCTCACTCCTGTAAAGATTTACAGTCCCAGAAACCCTACACTATGAGTCAGAACCCACTCAATTGCATGTAGCAGCAGCATAGCTTTGGTCAGGAGCCCTGGCGGCACATGAGGTTAAGCAGTGGGCTGCTAATAGAAATGTTGGTGGTTGGAACTCAGCAGTAAAGATGAGGTACTCTGCCCCCCCTTAGAGATTTACAGTCTTGGAAACCTGATAACGTAGTTTTACTTTAGGGGGCTGTGAAAACAATTCTTTTAAAAGAGAACTTATTAGCTAAATGTTAGCCATGAATGATTATTATTGTAATCATTATTATTTGACCTGTGGTGTCCTTGTACACTATGAGCCTAAGTGTTGCAGCTAAACTGTCAGTGAAGTGCAATGATCAGGAGCAGATTTCGGAATCAGATGGGCCAGAGTGGCCTGGCCACCTTACACTCTAGCTGGTTAGTTACCATTAAGTCTCAGCTTCCTCATTAATCAAATGGCCAAAGGAATACTCCTAGAAGGTGGTTTTGAAATTAAATGAGATAATGTAATAAAACTCTTTAAACATGGATGGCACATAATACTCAATAAGTTTAATAATTACTATGAGTTGGCACGGACTCAACAGCACTTAACAACAGTGTTTACAGGAGTACTGGTGTGGTGCTGTAGGATAAGCATTGGACTGTTAACTTCAAGGTTGACAGGTCAAACCTACCAGCTGCTCTTCAGAAACCCTATACAGGGTCACTATGAGTTGGAATCTACTCAACGGAACCTAACAACAGTATGTCCTGGTGTGGCTCTGTAGGATAAGCACTGGAGTGCTAACCACAAGGTTGGCAATTCAAACCCACCAACCGCTCCTTGGGAACCGTATACAGTGTTTCTAGAGTCAGAACTGACTTAACAATAACAACAATGTGTTTACATTTGAGTTGCTGGGAGGCACAAATGGTTAAATAGTTGTCTATTAACCAAAAGGTTGATGGTTTAAATCTACCCAGAAGTGACTCAGGAGAAAGACCTGGAGACCTACCCTTGGAGCCCACCTTTCAGACAAGCAATAGACAGACCCATAGGGTGAACCATGAAACCACAAGGAACATGCTCGTTAGAGCAATCAACCATGCAAGACCACAGGGCAGCATTTCCTGCAGAGCAAAGCTCAGAGAGCAGGAAGGGACAGGAGAGGGGAAGGAATGGAAGTGAGGAACCCAGGGGGAAGTGGGAAAAGGGCTGGTACATGAAGGGGGATTACAACTAATGTCATGAAGTAAATTGTGTATGAACTGTTTAATGTGACAGTAATGTGTTTTATAAACTTTCATTCAAATCCCAGTAAAATGCTCAAAGAAGAAGACAGACCTAGTGATCCTTCTGAAATGCCACAGCCTGAAAACCCTCTTCTACTCTGCAATGGATGGTGTTTCCATGAGTCAAAGTTGACTCAGTGGCAACAGAATTTGGTTTATGTTTATATAGATCACCCGACAGAATCAATCAAAAAAAAAAAAAAAAGAGTTAAATTCTTCCCGCCTTTAAAGTTGATACTCCATTGCTCTCCTCATTTTACAGATGAGGAATCTGAGGCTCTGAGCATGCAGGTCGTGATCAGACAAGTAGTCATTGCAGAGATGGGATTTGCATAGAGACAATTGTGTTCCCAAGACTGTGCTTATCCTTTGCACTGTAGGATAAACACTGATCTAGTAACCTCAAGGTCAATAGTTCAAACCCACCAGCTTATTCTCAGACACTCTATACAGGGTCGCTATGAGTCAGAACCACCTTGACAGCAGAGAACAACAAACAAGAACATGCTGCCTCAAACAACTGAAGCCAGTATCCACAGGGCCGCTTCAGTCACGTGTGTCTTCCCCAGAGTATGTGAGTTTCAGTAATTGAGATTGCACCCCAATAATATGATGAAACTTTAGAAGAGCACACTTTTGCAGTGAAACTACTCAAAACCTTACATGCAGACATATATTGTAAATTCCAAGTGGAGTGACAGGAATTGCTGATGAAAGCCTTCATGGAGTGGTAATCAGGTTTAGAAAGAAACAATATTGACTTGAGATCCAAAAGTGCTTCTTATCTCGAAGCCATTTGACCTTGTATTGGGCTTGTTGTTGTTAAGTGCCATTGAGTCAATTCCAACCCATAGCGACCCTGTATAGGGTTTCCAAGGAGCAGCTGGTGAGCTTGAACCACCAACCTTGTAGTTCAAACGACTTTGCAGTCTGACACATTAGCCCACAGCGTCACACCAGGATTCCTGTATTGGGTTAATCTATATTTATTCACTAAGAATAAATGCATTGTGACATTTCTCGGTCATCTAACTTGCTTACTTTCTAGTGCACTCGCAGTTGATATGGTTCCTAGTGTGTGTTCAGCCCCATATCTTATAAACCAGATATAAACAGCTACGGAGTGCTTTTTCAGGCCCCAAAGACATCAGGCACTGACAACTCTTACAGGTTCATGGGAACTGAAACCAGTGGGGAGAACATTGACAGGACCATGATGTACTACGGGTTGCCTTTTATCCAAGAAGCCGATTTTCCCTTCAACAATTACCTCGCCTTGCTCAACACTCCTGGAAACAGTGTACTGAATAAGGCTATCATGTCCTGGATGGAAAACATGCCGGAAGGAAAATGGCCTAACTGGATGGTAAGCTCTTATTCCTAATTCAGTGTACCTTGTGTGCTTGTTGAACGAGATGAATATGTATCTCTAATAACCTTCAACTCTCTTGCATTTGATGGCTATGTAGGGAGCCAGGCATGTTCCAGCTTCCCACCACATTCTTATCATTTGTTATTGTTATTGTTAAGTGCCATCAAGTTGGTTCTGACCCATAGTAACCCTGTATAGGGTTTCCAAGGAGTGGCTGGTGAGCTAGAACCTCTAACTTTGCAGTTCAAACCAACTTTGCAGCCCAGCGCATTAGCCCACAGCACTCCACCAGAACTCCTCTTACCATTTAGGGGGAGCCGTTGTCCACTCATTTGAATGAATATCAAATGACTACTGGTCTATGCTTAGAATGCTACTAGACATTACAGGGAATCAATATTAAACCATAATTCTTTCCCACAAATCCCAGAGTTAATGATCTCAGTGGGAAGAAAGGGGATTTCATATGTGGGGATTTTATATGTGGAGACTGTAGACATACAGGTGTACACTAAACAGTGACAAAACATGGTTTTAAGGGGGCAGGACTCAGTGCAAAAGACATTCAAACTATTAAGATGCTATTGCACCCTTCCACATTGAGGTTAAATGCAGCTTCTCTGTTGACAGATGAAGGCCTAACACTTTTGAAAATTGATAATATGTTGCTTCTACGAAGAATAAAAGATAAGAAAATGCTACCTGTGCTTATTATAAACCAACCTTTTAACGTCCATGTTGTCAGTGGCCTTTTCCTGATTTGATTTTTCTATCTTTTGGTTAGGAAGGGGTTAGTACTGGCCTCCTTAGTAATATTATTTTTGCTAATTAATGTTAGTTTGGACACAAGTCCCGCTGCTTAAGAGACTCATCGCAGCAGTGGCTTACACAAGATGGGAGTTCCTCGCTTTCCCACATAAAAAACAGACACCTTTCCTTTCATATGAACCAAACCAGAGGCCATGAAGTCTTTTCTGACTTACGGAAATCTTTTGTGTGTCCATAGGGTTATCTATTCTGACTTATGGAAATCTTTTGTGTGTCCAGAGGGTTTTCAGTGAATGAGTTTTCATAAACAGATTGCTCCGTCTTTCTTCCAAGGCACCTATAAGTGACCTTCAACATTTTGGGTAGCAGCCGAGTTTGTTAATCAAACTTGGTTTGGTTTACTGAGAGGGACTCCTTCCTTTGTTTTTCAAGTCCTGGTGTGGTTGTTGTTGTTGTTGTTGTTAAATGCCGTTGAGTCAGTTCCGACCCATAGCGACCCTGTACAGGGTTTCCGAGGGTGTAAATCTTTACGGGAGTAGAAAGCCTCATCTTTCTCCCGTGGAGCGGCTGGTAGTTTCGAACCGCTGACCTTAAGGTTCGCAGCCCGATTCGTAACCACTACGCTACCAGAGTGTGGTGCTGTGGGTTAATGCAAAGTCAGTTTGACCTGCAAGGTTGGCAGTTCCTTAGAAACCCTATATAGGGTCGCTATGAGTTGGAACTGACTCGATGGCACCTAACAACAACAGCAACAAACTCTTGAAGGGAGCCTAGATGTGGCACTTTAGGATACGCACTGTATTACTAACTGCAAGATTGGCAGTTCAAACCCACCAAATGACCTTGGTGGTAACCCTATACAAGGTCGTTATGAGTCAGAACCCACTTGAAGGTACTTAGCAACAAAAAACAAACTCCTGAAGAGGACAATTCGAGGTTCAGTGGTAAAATTCTTGCCCTGTAGACATGAGACTCAGGTTCGAGTCCCTGCCAAGCACCTCAAATGCCGCCACCACCTGTCTGTCAGTGAAGGCTTGTGTGAGGCTGTGTTGAACAGGTTCCAGCCTAAGACTGTCCAGGAAAAAAGGCCTTGTGATCTACTTCTGAAGATAATGAGCCAGTGAAAATTTTATAGATCAAAATGGTCCAGTCTTGTGCATGGGGTTGTCAGGGACTGAGAGCCAATTTGATGGCAGCTAGCAACAACAACAAATTCCTGAACAACTCTTATGTCCCTTGAATCCTTCATTTCATTGCATATCTATCATGTTAGCCTGTTAGTCTGATGTCATCCTGTAGTTCTCAGTGAAATAACATAGCAGGAACCTTCTAGAGCCCCCAGATGAGCCCTCTGGTCTACCTTTATATGCCCCACAGCAGTCCTTCACTTCCTTACTTACAGCTCCACACACTTAGACACCGATAGGCCTCGTGCAGGGCAGTGCTTCTCAGTACGTAGTGCCCAGCTTGGTGCATCTTCACCCTGGTGCTTAGTGGAGACTGTGGAAAAGGCTAGATGATTGTTTGCTGGCAGTGATGTTCTGCTGCTGCAGCTCTCTTCTCCTGACTGCTGCCCTACAAAATACATATGGCTTTACACTGGGCCCTTAAAGATGGGGAGGTTGTGGTCCACTCTGTACAGATTCTGCCAGTTCTTACTCAGTCCTGATCACGAGCTGAATGAATAAACACGGACAAAACACGGCCTTGTCAAAAACCAGAATATGTGAACAATAATGAAACCAATTCTATTCCTGGTGTGGCGCTGTGCGGTAATGCACTGAACAACAAGGTCGGTTTGAAGCACAAGATTGGCGGTTCAAGCTCACAAGCCATGAGCTGTAACCAACTCCACAGCACATAACCACCACCAGCAGCAAGAGCTAAAACTCGAAGCTTTAATTGGCTGAATGTAAACATTAAAATATACTATATTTCAAAAAAACAGATTAGTTGGGATATAATTCATATTTCTAATGTGTACAAATTAGTTATTTTTGTATATTCACACAGTTCTGTAACCATCACGTTCATAGAGATTTTGGAACATTTTCCTCATCCCCAAAAGAAACCCCAGATGCATTAACATTCATTCTCCATGACCCCTTCCTTCCATTCTCTAGCCTCTGGCATCACTAACCTAATCTGTGTCTCTGTAGATTCACCTATTCTGTATATTTTGTATAAATGGAGTCATTAAGTCTCTTGACTTTCACTTACATGTTTTCAAGTTTCACCCATGTTGTAGTATTAGTTCTTCATTTCCCCTTATGACCAAATCATATTTCATTGAGTGAACGTACCACATTTTGTTTGTGTGTTTATCAGTTGATGAGCATTTGGGTTGCTTCTACTTTTTGGCTGTTAGGAATAATGCTGCTATGAATATTTATGTGTAAGTTTTTGTGTGGCTATTTGTTTTCAGTTCTCTTGTATGTATAGCAAGGAGTGGAATAGCTGAGTTCTGTTCTAAGTCTGTAACTGTTTGAGGAAATGCCAAATTGTTTCCCAAAGTGACTCTACCAGTTTACATTTCTACCCACAAAGCATGAGGGTGCTCGTTTTTTCATATCCTCACCAACCTTGTTACTGACCATCTTTTTGATTATAGCCATCCTAATGGATGTGAAGCAGTATCTCGTTGTGTTTTGATTTGCATTTCTCTAATTTGGATGAATTTTCCTGTGTTTTCTGGCCATTTCTATGTATTCTTTGGGGAACTAGCTATTAAAACCCTTCCCTCATGATTAAATTGGGTTATTTGTATTTTTATTGTTGAGTTGTAAGTTTCTTTAATCTGGATATGTGATTTACTAGTCTTTTCTCCAATTCTTTGGGTTGTCTTTTCATGTTGTTGATGGTTGATTTGTGCTTTGAAGCAATTACTTTTTCTTTTAATATTATAGATAGGAACCTACTCGGTGGCATCTAACAATAGTTTATTGTGGATTCCTTAGAATTTTTGCATAAAAGATCGTGCCATCTGTGAATATTGGTGGTTTTACTCTGCTGTTCCATTTGGATGTCTTTTGTTTTCTTGCCTAATTTCCTTGGATAAACTCGCTGGTAAATATTGAACAGAAGTGGTAAGAGAAGACATTCTTGCAGTATCACTGCTCCTGGGGGAAGCCTGTGGTCTTTCACTTTTAAGTATGTGGTTAGGGTCTTTGTAGATACCCTTATCACATTGAGGAAATGCCCTTCTATTCCTAGGTTGTTTATTGTTTTCATCAGGAAAACGTATTGGGATTTGTCAAACGCTTTTCTGCAGCTATTGAAATAATCATGTGGTTTTTGTCCTTTATCCTATTTATATATAGTACACTGATTGATATTTATATGATGAACCAACCTTTCATTTCTTGGACAAATCGCTGTTGGTGCTGGTATCACATCTTTGACACACACGGTGCTGGTTTCTGTTTGATAACTTTTTTTTTTTCTGTAAACTTAAGGATATTGGTATGTAGTTTACTTGTCTTTTTTTCTTGTTTTGGTAACAGTAATATTAGCCTCATAGAATGAGCTGGGACTATACCTGCCCCTTCTATTTTTAGGACTCCTGATGTGGCGCTATAGGATAAGCACTAGACAGGTAACTGAAAGGTCAGCAGTTCAAATCCACCAGCCACTCCTCGGAAACCCTATATAGAGTCCATATGAGTTGAAACTGACTCAGTGGCCCTAACAACAACAACTTCTGTTTTTTTAAAATGACTCTATAAAGACTTGGTGTTTATTCTCAAATGTTTGATAGAATTTACCAGTGAAGCTGTTTTTTTGTTTTTTTTTAAATGTGTGTGTGTGTGTGTGTGGTATGTGTTTTGATATCCACACTGATGTGGTGCTATAGGTCAAGCACAGGACTGCCAGTTCAAACCCACCATCCCCTTCTCTGAAACCCTCTACAGGGTTGCTATGAGATGGAACTGATACCACAGCATTTAACAATAACAACAACAATTTATTCAATCTCTATGCTAAGCAAATAATCCAAGAAGCTGGGCTATTTGAAAACCTGGTATCAGGATTAAAGGAAAACTCATTAACAGCCTTTGGTATACAGATGATATAGCCTTGCTTGCTGAAAGTGAAGGGGACTTATTGATGAAGATCAAAGACTGCAGCCTTCAGTATGAATTACACTTCAGTGTTCTGAAAACAAAAAATCCTCACAACTGGACCAATAAATAACATGACAAATGGAGAAAAAATTGAAGTTGTCA